ATGTTCATCATGCTCGCACTATACACATTGAGATTGACATTCATTTTGTTCGTGAGTAGGTTGCTTCTAGTGTTCTACAAGTTTGCTATGTGCCAAGTGTGGATCAACTTGCAGATTTACTGATGAAGTCTCTTCCCTATGCTCAATTTTCATTCTTACGTGACAAGCTCAACATTTATCGAGACCCAACATTGCTTGAGGGGGAATGATAAATATATATGTATAGCTAGAATGATAGTTTAGTCTTTTGTATCATATTTACATATTATAAATACCTCGTGTAATTGGTTAATGTATTCATTCAAGATAGTTATTCTTTCAGTCACAACATGTGATCGCATATTCTAGTTCCCTAGTTAAGCAAATTTTTTAATATTGTTATGAAACGCCAAATTTCTATTACATGAATTCAAAATATGAAGAAAAAGAGAAGAAGAAGTAACATACGAAAAAGTTGAAGAATTCAATATCTATATCATATGTATGTACATAAAAAATAATTTCAACGTCATATATATAAGGCCTAATCCATCGGTGGCCCCCTAAAGTTGGAATGAAGTTTCACTTAGACACCTCAACTGGGTGATGTTCATTTTAAACCCCTCATGTAGGATCTCGTTGTGTCATTTTGACAGTTTTCGTTGATATGACATGGTAAGTGTAATACACTCAAAGTCAGCGCGTGAAGAGTTTTTTTCAGGCCAAAAAATTATTTTTAAAACATTGTTCATCTTCTTCACTCTTTCTTTGTGATTATCTCATCCACCACACACCATCAACCTACCGCCGTTGTATCATCGCCACTAATCTTATTAAAATCGAAGTAATTTTTAATTTTTGAGATATGAAAATCACCACAACCATCATCTTCTTCTCATTTTGTTTCTTCAGATCCAACAATTAAATTTCAACGCCACGAAATAATTACTCTATTTCTTGTTCACATATTTGAATCCTCTGCACATACGAGAAATGCAAAAAAAATAAAAAAATTCCATTGTTAGTTACAACTGATTTTTTTAGAAGTAAAGAAGAGAGAAACAATTGCTTTTATAAATTAATTTTTTCAATGTAATTAAATTCTTTTGAAAGTGTTTCTTGAAAAGACAATAGAGTGAAAAAGGGGTTGAGGTTGGGGCGGGTGGGGGTAAAGAGGATGGGCGATCTAGTGGGGGTGGAGGAGCGGTTGGGGTTGGGATGGGTGGGGTGGAGAAGACACCTGGATTGGTTGGGTGAAGAAGACAAGGGTGAGTTTCTTGATAATTAGAAGTGATGAATTTCTTTTTACTTAAAAGTCATTAGTTTAGAATTATTTTTACATATATGACATGTGTCTTTGCTTAATTAGTCACTTTGACACGTCATCGGCACGTGTATTACACACACTTTGTATTTTTGGATGATTGTTAAAAAAAATGTCAAAATGACACAACGGAACCCTACATAAGGTGTCTATAATGAAAAAAACTCAGTTAAGGTGTCTAAGTAAAACTTGATGTCAACTTTAAGGGGCCACCGATGGGTTAGGCCTATCTATAATGTAATCTTTTAGTGAAGGGGGTTCAAATGAATGTACACTAATTAATTTGTACACTAGTTCCTTCTTTGTGGATAGCATATGCCAGATGGATTCAATATTTAGATTATATGGGTTCAACTCTTTGAAGTTATTAGCAGAACCCATCATATATTTATCGAATATTTTTTTTGTAATTTTAGTGATACATAAATTTCATAGGCCTAGGATATATGGTCAATTACCTCATGAAACAATCGATGTGCACAAACCAAGTGATCGGGAAGGATACATCTTTGTGGAGCTTGATAGAAGCATGTTGGTACCACACCCTTCTCAAGAAAACAATACTACAAAAAAACGTGAAATTAGCTAAGGAATATATCAACAATTCCAAGCTAATCCATCGTTAAAGTGCTCCTAGTTAATTGAACTTGCTTACAATCCATCGCTAATTTATAAAACAAGATTAACATAATTTTTTTGTTATTTAAATACAAAATTTGCCAATCGCTAATTCTTCATCTAATTTGCGACTCTCTAAATTCTAATCAGTGATGGCCATATCCCTATGCCATATTAATATTGGCCTACTAGTATATATACGAGTTCCAATAGTTTAATTAGACACCCAATAAAAAAATGATTATTTTTGAATTTGTAATTTTAAATAAAAATTAATATGGCTATAAAAACATATCATTCAACATAAAATAAAAAATTTAAAGTCAAAATAAAATTAGTGAGTAATACATAAGTTAAATAGTCTAGTGTGTGTAATACACGTGCCGATGACGTGTCAAAGTGTCGAATTAGTGAGTAATACATAAGTTAAAGAAATAACATATTAATGCAACAATTTCATGGTTGAATTTTCATTAACTAAATCCGATTGATAATTTTCGTTATATTGTTAGATCTTTTTCAAATGACATCTATTTCAACACGAGAATTAATTTAGAAGAAGAAATTGAAAGTTACACCCCAAAATTTTTCTTTGCAAGTTTGGTAAGAATCATTAAAATTTCTTTTATATTACTATGCAAATTCTAATTGTGGGTATCAAACTATTATAGCAGTCTATACCATATATTGCACGTAAGAAACATTTAAATTAGCTATATTGTCAAGTAGAGGTGGTGGATCGATTATATGATACAAAATTCATTAAATATTTATACATCTTAGACATTAAATCAATTATATATTAAGATTAGAGTTGTCAAAAAGGGTCAGTCCAGCCCCACCTGGTCCAAGCCTCGCGGGTCAATTAATTTGAAGGGTTAGGGTGGGTCATTCCTTCATTTGGAAGGGCCTGAAAATGTTCAACCCAACCTGACCCTAGAAGGGCTGAGGGTTAGGGCGGGCTAACCCTTCTTTATTTCTTTCCAAACTTAAAATTCTATAACATCAAGAAAATGAGAAGATTTTCAAATCAAATATGACAAACAATGGTGTTGTTTCAATAACATTAACAAAAAATCTAGTTTAATTAAGATGTATCAACGATACTAGATATGCGAGATACATGTATCTAGTGTGATGCATCCCAGATATGCGAGCGAGATAAGAGAGTGGCAAGCGAGATGGGAGGGAGGCAAGAACACAAGATTTGTCTATGTATCCTAGATACATGCGAATCCATTTGGGTAGATTGTAACTAAAACAAATTAACCTAACTTTGAGTCCATGTATCATGAGATACATGTATCTAGACGTACTAAAATCTGGTAAGATTCATAATATTACAACACATTTAAATAATTAGCTCATATACTAGTGAGATTGTTGTAAGTTACCCTTAATTAAATAGTTTTGGCCCATGAGCCGACCCCGACCCGGCCCCGATCAAGCCTCAAGGGCCAAGGGCATATATGGGTTGAGCCTATAAACCCTAGTTTTAAATGAGCTTGAAAAATCATATCCCAACCCTTCTCCAATAACGGGTTGGGTTGGGCTGACTCATGGACTAAGCCTATTTTGACGGCTCTAATTAAGATAAGGAAAAATTAAAGAAATCCCACATTTTAGTTTACTTATTACCATTATCCCCTATAAGTTTTACAAATCTCCAAAATCCCTCATTTTCGCGCATCAGATTAGTGTATCAGCGCTTATATTATTGTATCCGTTTGAGGGATTTCTGTAATTATAAACTTTTAAGGGATAGATTGTAATTTTGCCTCGCGCATCAGATTAATGTATCAGTGCTTATATTATTGTATCTCGCGCATCAAATTAATGTATCAGCGCTTATATTGTTGTATCTCGCGCATGTACCAGCGCTTATATTATTGTATCCGTTTGAGGGATTTCTGTAAGGATAAACTTTTAAGGGATAGATTGTAATTTTGCCTTAAAAGTATGTGATTTCTGTAATTTGCCCAGAAGATAATAACTTAAAATTATTATAGAAACTTATAAGCTTGATCAAAAGCCTTTACGTACTATCAATAAAATACTATTATAATCGACCTGAACAACATATACGGATCCCCTCCACTCCCTTTTTCATTACTAATGGAATATCCTTCACTATTTGAGCAAAGACTCATAATTTGGCTCCTAACCATCACGTACGTCTTAGTTTAGGAATGAAACAATTGTTTTTCATATATTTTTTTCTTGTGATCGATATTACATACACAACATCAATATAAGTAAAACTAAAATTCTGAGAGATTTACTTTAATTTTATAATTCATTACAAATGTTATGCTAGTTGTATATGATTATGTAAAAAATTAATAACTTTGTAAAAGTAACACAAATTGCAGCGTTATTGTAAAAGTAACACAAATTACGTTTTTATATTTATTTGATTGATCAATTAAATAAGTGGTTTTATATAGTTGATTACTTTTCTATTTAGTTCGAGTTATCATATATTTGACATATATATATAAACCTTGCATTGCTATCACGAAGATTACTCGCCTAGCGAAATTTAACCTGATGATTAGGGGTAGAGCTAGAAGCTCGAGCATGGTTAATTTTTTGTTAAAATAATGTATTTGTATTGAGATTTTTTAAAATATAATAAATATTAAGTTTAGAACTCAGTTATTAATACTTGAAATCGTCTTTATAAAATTCATAAGTTAAAATTCTAACTTCGCCTTTATTGATGATGTAAAATTTTTATCCACGACATGTGCTAAACTTATAGTCGATTTGACCAAGTTTCTAAGAAGTTATAAATGCTTAATGTTTTTTTATATAAATATTTAATTGGAAGTTATAAATGCTTAATGTTTTTTTTATATAAATATTTAATTGGAAGAGTTGAGATATTTGACCAAACTTTTAGAAGAAATCATAAATTAGTTTTGGGAAAAGAATTTTTTTTAAATTTTTTTTAGCCAAAACACATACGCTATATAATGCACTGTTCCATTCTTCAATCTTTTAGCGAGAAACGATCGCTTTTATCTTTCAGCAAAATCAAGTGACTTCTCAGTTCTCACCTTATACTTATGGCGGGTAAATCAGAACAAAACGCTGTCGTTTTAGACAAGCAGAGACCGGCTAACGTGGCTCAAAAATCAATGAAGCACCACCTCATATTGGAGGATCCAGCGGCGGCGTTAGCAAATGTCCGCCACGAATTCGGCGAGCACGGCGGCGTTAACATGTCCATCGAAGCCTCCATCACCTTCACCGTCATGGAGCCGGAGAATTTAAGCCGCATGTTCGCCGGCGAACTCGGACCTGACCGCGATTTCTTCATCTACAGCCGTCACTTAAATCCAACAGTCCTCAATTTGAGCCGGCTTATGGCGGCTCTCGAGGGCACCGAGGCTGCTTACTGCACATCCTCTGGCATGTCGGCGATATCATCGGTGCTGCTCCAGCTTTGCAGTTCCGGCGATCACATCGTTGCTTCCCGTTCGTTGTACGGCGGGACATATGCTTTGCTCACGCATTTTTTGCCAAAGGCGTGTAATATAACGACGTCGTTTGTGGATATTAGGGATTTGAATATGGTTGAGGAAGCAATTGTGGAAGGGAGAACGAAGGTGTTGTACTTTGAATCAATTTCTAATCCGACGTTGATGGTTACCGATATTCCGGCGTTGTGCAGGATAGCGCATAGTAAGGGAGTATTTGTAGTGGTGGATAATACATTTGCTCCGATGGTATTGTCCCCGGCGAGATTGGGCGCTGATGTGGTTGTTCATAGTATTTCCAAATATATTAGTGGGGCTGCCGATGTTATTGCAGGTAATTTGATGATGTATATAACTTAAACTCTTTACGTCTTGCATCAGTAGAAATTGAACATTATTATGGAAACAGGTGCAGTTTGTGGACCGGCAAGTCTGATTAACTCCATGATGGATCTTCGTGAAGGGTCACTTATGCTACTAGGCCCAACCATGAATGCTAAGATCGCGTTCGAGCTTTCAGAGAGACTTCCTCACTTGGGCTTAAGAATGAAAGAGCATAGTAATCGAGCTCTTGTTTTCGCTACTAGAATAACCAAGCTTGGGCTCAAAGTCATTTACCCAGGCCTAGAAAACCATCCAGATCATGGCCTTCTCAAGTCCCTAGCCAATGAAGACTATGGCTATGGGGGGATTTTGTGTGTTGACATGGAAACTGAAGAAAAGGCTAATTGTTTAATGAATGTTTTACAAAATTGTACTCAATTTGGGCTTATTGCAGTGAGTTTGGGTTATTATGAGACACTCATGTCATGTTCGGGCAATAGCACAAGTAGTGAAATGAACAATCAAGAGAAGGAGTTGGCTGGGATTTCACCTGGATTAGTGAGAATGTCAATTGGCTATAATGGTACATTGGAGCAAAAATGGAGCCAACTTGAGAAAGCATTGTCACAAATGCAATAGAAAATGACATTACAAAGATCTCGTCTTATCTCTTCTAATAAAATTTTATGTTTATCGTTGTTCAATAAAAAGAAAAAAATAATTTATGAGACATCCTTTTAAGTTTGTTTTTTAACTTAATTTTTTCTATGATTTTATGATATTACGCTTACTTCCTTTTATAATTTTGTAACGTTTAGTTAATCTATTATCATTAGTGTAAAATAATTAGAACCCAACTAATTCATCCTTTTTCAATATTCCCTTTTGATATAATTGATTTTTGCTAACATTTTAAAGAATTCATTTACAAGAAACACTATAGTCTATGGATAAGCTAATTATTATCTTTAATAAATTACTAGAGTAATAATCTGAATAGTCGTCTACCTAATCACTTAAATTAAATTAGCAAGTAAGGTAAACATTGACTATATTGGGTCCTCATATTCCAAAAGTTAGGCCCAAAAGCCCAGCCATTAGGAGCCGAACGGGTTTCAGTCACCACTAAACCCTACATATAAATTTCTGTCATACATTGAGGAGAAGGTGAAGGAAGAAGGCGAAAATGCAGATATTCGTGAAAACTCTGACCGGTAAAACGATTACGCTGGAAGTTGAATCCAGCGATACCATCGACAATGTTAAAGCCAAGATACAGGACAAGGAAGGTATGGAAAATCGTGTTTTTGATTTATAAGCTTCTCCATTTGCGTAATTTTATGATTGTTTTTGTATTCAATTTGTGCTTCTATGTTTTTCGGTGCTTCAGGAATTCCACCAGACCAGCAAAGGCTGATTTTTGCTGGTAAGCAGCTTGAGGATGGCCGCACCTTGGCTGACTACAACATCCAGAAAGGTGAGTGACTTGTGGCTGAGCAATATTTAACATTCAATTAATAGATTGAAAATTTTACGAATTTTGTAAAGGATAAAAAACTACTAATTGTATTCTATTAGCACCAAATATGAGCATTTTTATTGAAGCCAAAGGTGGTTCAACATATATTAGTCATGTATAAACAGTGTAATTTTCCGCCTCCGTCCATGAATATGAGTATGAGCTGATTGAGTCGAAATTCATAGCGAGATTAAGATGACAGAGTTTTACTAGTCAAATGTCAATATTCTCTAAAGTTATTATGTAATTTTTGAATTTAATAGTTACACCCTAATTGAAGTGAAAGTTAATGATTTTTTTTTATTTTTTGTATTTAATAAATGCAGAATCAACTTTACATCTGGTGCTGAGGCTTCGTGGTGGAATCATTGAGCCATCTTTGATGGCTTTGGCTAGGAAATACAATCAGGAGAAGATGATATGCCGCAAGTAGGTTTCATGATAAAATTATAACTAGCTTTCTTTTGGGCTATCTCTTTCATTATGCTTATGAAGATACTAGTGCTAATATTTTGCACTTGTGGTAGATGGGGTATCTGACATGGAGTTTTAACATCCTAAACTATCATTAGTAACTCCTAGAATGGGCCCCTGTGTGATATTCTAATTAGTAGATAGTATTAAGAGGACAATTTGTGGATTAAAGCACATAGTCTTTGAGTAAAATGATTGTTACTGTTCAAGTGTTATCCTGGATACCTTGCCTTTAGGAGAAGAGGGGAGAGAAGAACTTGCTGTCAAAGTATTTCCTAGAAACATATGTTGATTGAACATTAAATATAAGAACATTCTCTTGATAGTGTTGCCCCCTTCATCACTACAAAGTTGTGCTCCATTATGTGGTTGGATATGCCTTTAGATAGTACCTCGGGTATTAAATATATGAATATTCTCAAGTTTCTAGCTCTTGAATTTAAATACTCAATCAAACTCGAGAACAAGAGGTAAAACACTTGCCTAATAATTGAACAGACTTATGGGAAGAGACTATCTTTAGATTAAAGATATTTGAGAGATTGTATCCTTGAAATCAAATATTACAATTTGTTTTTTCTTATCTTTTAGTTTCTACTTTTATTGACCACACAAAACTTAAATTTTTGGATACTTTCCCTTCCTCAATTTATTGTTCTGATAGACCAGAGCCTTAATGATGGCTCACGATTTGTACCCTTAGTGATTTCAATCAAATACTCGAGACTTAGTTTGAAGTTAGTTATCTTAGTTTGTTTACCATGAGCACAGATTCGGTCTGTCAGAGCATGAAAAATAGATGATGTTAAGAGGACCATGAGAAGAGGAGGATCATTGTTGAAATCTCATTAATTTGTTCGCTGGTGCTCCAGTTATAACTTTTGAGTTTATAGTTGTGAATACAAACTGTATTAATACATGAGATTTTGGAATTCTATAAAATGAGATTCATATGATTTGGGTTGTTGCATACTAGTAGGGTTGCACTCAACTAAAGGCTATAAACAGTTTATACTGTTAAGCTCACGTAGCGTGCTTCTGGCATGATCTACTTCCCCGTATGATTGATTGCGGGGATCAGATGAGAATATGTTTCTCATATAAGATGAGCACTCCCATTATGTGTGAGTGGAAAATTTTGGAAATTAGAATTCTCCCATAAGGGTTGGTTGTACGAGTCTATTAGGGTAAATACATAACCCGGGTTTATTCTAAATATATATATAAGTAAAGCTACATTGTATGACAGAGAGATATATGAGAGAGAATTCTCACCCTATATTTACCTTATGTCATCGCTTATGCGACGTAAAATAGTTTTGTTACCAATGAAAGAATGATTAACTCATTAATCTATACAAAGTAGGAGTAAAGAGAACTTACAGGTTATTTGTGTAGTGGTGACAAATGATTTAGGATGAACTGCGGATGCAATTACCTGTCTGTGTTGGTTGTCACGGTAAATTGGAGTAGCCCCTTATTGCACAATCTAAACTCAATTTGATTATGAGAGGAGAACATAGGGGTGCGCATCGTCGGTTCGGTTTTATGTGTTATTGATTCGGTGAGATTTTGAAATCAAGAGGTATTATTGTATGTAGGGGTGCGCATCGGTCGGTTCGGTTCGGTTTTATGTGTTATTGGTTCGGTTTATCGGTTTTCGGTTTGTAAATACTTCAGACCGATAACCAAACCAATAACATATTTCTTATCGGTTTTTGGTTAATCGGTTTATGGTACTTAACGGTTCGGTTTTCGGTTTAACCAATAAGAAAATACTCATATATATTATATACACGATAAGAAAATTTTCAAATAAACCATATGATTTTTCCAGCATTTGGCATGAAAGTAATAATCGTAAAAGTAACAATCATTTTTCTTGCAAGTTTAGACACTAGACACATTCAAAGGAAAAAGTGTGAAAGTAACAATCGTTTAACCATTAACACTAAGACTAGTAAATTTAGTATAGTCTTATTGGGTTATCGGTTTAATCATTAACAAAAATCATAAAATCGGAAACCAAACCAATAACCCAATAAAAAAATTTGCAAAATCGTTAGCCCAATAACCCAATATCAATAAACCAATAGTGTTTTTTTCGGTTCGGTTTATTGGTTAAATCGGTTTTTGCACAACCCTAGGAGAACATGGAAAATTTGAGAGTTCTATGTCTTATATATCTCTAAGTCGTACATTGTAGGTATACTACAGAATAAATTAGGGTCAATAGTAATTACTACAATTACTATATTTACCCCACTGGGCTTTTAGAGCATCCCATATGGGTGGACTCTAATTTCCAACATTTGAGTCCCATTCCTTTACAATCCTTTCCTACTTCCACCAACCCTTTACCTAGCTTTTGGCTCTTTCTTTCCTTTTCTTTTTTCTTCCACCTCCTCCTGACACTATCTTCTTCTCGCTACACCACTGTCCCATGATATCTATGCTCATCGGTATTAAGCCACCCCCCATAGTGTTAGAATTAGATTCTTTTAAAATTTCTTTAAGTTAGTTTTCATCTTTGGATCTCTGTGCTTTGCTCTACAGTCGCAACATTGTAGGCCAGATTGTCACCTTTAAGTTTGTCATGTTCAAATGACTTCATAAACATTGAACTTATCTAGCAATTGCAGATATCCTATGTTTAGTTGGTGTTACTGTTTTTCTGGATACTTCGTACTATTTTATTTGGTAAAGGTTGTATTTTTATTTTGTTCTTCTCATAGAAGATTATCTTCTACTCTGTCCGTTTCAAATTTGTTTGTTTTGTACGAAAGCTGCTAAACTCCAAGATTCTAGTATCTGCCTGGGTTTAAATGCTTGTCATTTTGCATCCAATTTACTTCACTACACTCAAAGTTGATGGATTGCTGAATACTAATGATTGTGGGATTAAAGTTTTTATGGGTCGTTTGGTAGAAAAAAATAATGCAGAGTATTTTTTTTATCAAGTGTTTGGTTCATTGCTTTTGACCTCATCTTGTGTTTGGATTAAAACTCTACAAAAAGCTTCTTTCCAGTTATACCCTTGCATTATTATGAGATTTTCTATTTTATGTAATCGATCAAGGTGGATAATTGCCGGGACAATATTATTATTTATTGACCTTCTAGCTAGCTAGGAGAAACAACTTTGTTGTCATGTTTGTGATTTTCTCACTTAAATTATTCGAGGGTAAATAATTATTATCTTAATAAATTAATCACTTAAAAACGTTAATTTTCAATTTAGAATAGATAGACCATCTACTTTTAAAAGACGGTAAACAATAGTAAAATTGAATAAATCTTCTACATTTACACATAAAAATTGCAAGTTGTAGTTTTAATATGTATGCAATTTATAGATTGTTCAAAATATAAATAATTAGAAACCGCATATAAATCAACAAATAATATATTGAATTAAGATCACAAACGTCATGTGGTGATATATTTGCCTTTTCAATTAGTAAATGTTAAAGAACTAACATTTTAAATATTGTATTGATATGTATTGTATTTATTTATTAACAATCAACTCTCTCTAAATAATAAAATTTGTAAGTTAATTTAATTAAATAAATTTTCTAGAAATAAAATGATTTGAGGGATATTTTTGTCTTTACATATATAATTCCATGGTAAATCCAATGTATTACTAATACCACCAAATGAAAGGTATTTGTAATACATCCTATAATACCATGTAGGGGGTTATATTTAGGCCCAAAAATTCTACAAAACATAGTACTAAATAATACTATATATAATACATGGACTATTTTTAGTGTTATGTTTGCAAGGTTTCTAAAATTTTAGTATCATACCCTTTTTGAACATTTCTGAAATGCAACCTCAAATTTGACAAAGTTCTGGCAGGTTAAGATAGATGTCGTTTGGATGTTCAAAGTGGGTAAAGTTCAATGAACCCAAATGTAGTGACTTTGTATGTTTATGGCCACTAGCAAAAGGGATTCTGTCCTCTTGTAACATGCTAAGATGTCAGTAATTTTAAGCTAATACTAATATGTATTGTCATCATGCTTCCCTTTCTCCTCCAATAGTTGTTTCTAATGCATACCTTGTAAAAATAATCTGAAGGTGCTATGCTCGGTTGCATCCTCGTGCTGTCAACTGCCGCAAGAAGAAGTGTGGACACAGCAACCAGGTTAATATCATCAAATACATATATTTTCCTCGATAAGTTGACACTTCATTTAGCTAACGACAAATGGTTTGTTTTTGCCGTTGCAGCTGAGGCCTAAGAAGAAGATTAAGTAGATACTGATTCTAATTGCTGCCGACTTGTAGTTGCTTGGATTTTCTTATCAAAAAATATTCTATTCGGATTTATTTTTGGCTTTTTACCCTTTAGAGATTTTGATCGACTTGTATTTGGGAGGTATATGAAGATTTTTTGCTACTTTGATAGTTCTTGCAGTTGCTCGATCATATCTTTATCAGAGTAATTAGGTTTATGTTTTTTAACATCACCTCATGTCATAGTATTTGCTAATTTGCTGTGCTTTATTTTCTATCAACACACTTGATCTTTGTTACTCAAGTATTAGGTAGCATTGTTTTAGGTGATTATAACTTAAGTCACATTTCCTATTTTGGATTTAATGGCTGACCATCCTCCACTTTTATATCATTTGAAAAGTAAGTTGATCTATGAAATATAAGCAAAGAGGAGGGAGTATTATAATTCTGATCAAGTAAGAGAGTTATGTTGATTGACAATCTATTGAATAGTGTGCAAAGTTATGATATATGTTCAAAATACCGAATTCACTAAAATGTGCCAATAAACTATCAAGAGAATGTAGAGGTGTATACATATATGTACGAAAGTCGAAAGATAAGAGAAGAAAATTATCGAAGAGGGTTTGAATGAATTCCCTTACAATACCCTAGCTCCTCTTGTGCTTCACTGCCCCTACTCTTTTTTTAATCGAGAATTGCGGTAATACCTTTTCATCTCTAATTATAAGTCTCAGGTTTAAATAAACAAAGTCTTGCTTCCCTCTTTAATAGGTGAGTGAATGAGAAATAAATAAAACTAGCCCCTAAATGATAATCGAGGTTATTCCTCGCATTCTCTGCGTATAGCAACATGAAATACTATAGAACGTTAGGTTTTGCTTTGTTTCTAAATTTTCTCATTTGTTTCATAATGCAAAAGAGAATCTACTCTATCTTATGACTCAATTTATATATCATATGGGTAATGCTAAATGATCAAAAAATTTGTCCAGAAATTTAAAAAGTCTATAATATCTTTTTTATTTTAAAATAAACTAATCTTTTTTCTATTTTTTAATTAAAATGTATTAAAGTTAAAAGAATAAAAATGTTCAAAAAGATAAAATAACATAGTGTGAAATATGTTATTTTAATTGAAATGTGTGCATAAAAAGGAGAAGCACTAAGTATATAATAATTTCAACTTTTCAACCACTCCCAGAGTCACAATGCACCTTTTCCTAACGAACGACTTTATAATAGGCACATTATTCCCAGAATGATTAGAATCGTCCAAACTAATCAAATATTGATTCTTGTGCTTTCTCAATTCATTAATGTTTCTCATTCTGTCATTCATTATCTTAATTTTATAATAAAATGCTAAATTAAGTGCTGATAGTGATAGTAACACTCTGCTTGACTACATTTGCTCTACTCTAACAAACGATGTATATTTACTTGTTCAACTATATATACGTACATGTGTGTTCAGGGAGGGAGTATAAAAGAAACAACTTTAGAAGCTTGATGAGAATGATCCCACGTTGGACTAGAACGAGATCTCTGAACTCTTTATAAGACTTGAACAATCTTCCTTCCTTTGAACTAGTTTTTAGGGTGTGAATTAGGTCTAGCAAGACCTAATTTCACACGATATCAGAGTCAAGCCCATTGAGGGGCACTCAAACCGTGTGAATACTCACGGTCCATGATTGTGCACGTACTAGACTAGGACAATAGAACCCTACATAAATTTTTTTTGGAATATGGGCGTAGGGGGTGATGAGAATGAACCCACATCTGACCGGGACGAAAATCCTAAACTTCTTATAAAGTTGGATAATCCTTCTTTCTTTGAGCTTGTGTTTGGAGCGTGGATTAGACATCAAAACCTCTAAAGGAAGAATCGCAATTTTTATTTTTATTTTTAAAAGAAGAGTAAAGGACAAATAGGTACAGGCAATAGCTAGTTACAGCTTGCAAAAATTAAGGCATAGTTTGTGTATTTGAAGAGTGGGTAGAAAACAATGTAAAAATGTATAGAAATAAGAGAAATGAAGTCAAAAAAGTAGCTTTGGGAATTTCATGTTTTCTAAGTCACAAAACCATGTCATAACTAATCAATTAATAGTAGTAGAAGTATTAAATCACTGCAAACATCTACACCTCGAGTCAATGGTAAATTAAACAAACAGAAAATTTTACTATTCATACTAAGAAATTCATCCAAAATATACAAATCAAGTCGTATCACATGTACTATATACTAGTATCACATGTGGAGTAATTAAAAACAACTTTTAGTGACAATATAGTTATATGCATATTAATAAAGAGTTCTGAAACTTTTACTGACATTAGTTAATTGTAACTGGATTCAATGTCGCTATAGATTTTAGAGACATTTATAAAAAATGCTAATTGCCACTAGAAAAAATATTTTTAGCGACAATTAAGCTATTTCATTAAATAATTGCTGTTGAAGATCATTTTTGGTGTAGTAGTTGAGACGTGAAATCCAAAAAAAAATAAAATTCGAAGTGTGTTTTTTATCATGAACTCTTAGACAAACTATAAAAATTGGGATGATCTAATGTATGTATTAAAATGTTGAGGTAGATTCAAATTAATATGTAATTCCAAAACAATCTTGTCATGAATAGAATAGGCAAAGCAATCAAGTGGGCAAGGATGCTTCAATAATGAGTCTAATGTGCCATTATGCATACACAAAACTTTAAAGCAACAAATGCCAATAAAATAAAATAATTAAAAGAGAAGTCTTTTCCAAGAGCAAAAGGAAAAGAAAGGTAGCAATAAGTGACAGAGTTAAAAAGTAAAAAACATGAAAAAGGCTAGCTACTCTAAAATCTATACTATAAATTTGAATGAATTGTGTCTATCTTTCACTTTTCAAGTTGACTCCTTAAAAGTTACATATCTTCTATTGTCTAAAAAGATGGAGTATCTACTCTTTTATACTCCCTCCGTCCCTATTTAGTTGTCCATATTTCCTCTTTTAGTTGTTCCTATTTAGTTGTCCATTTTGACAGATCAAAAAAGGACAACAAATTTTTACCTATTATACCATTATTTAAATAAAGTTGTCATAAATAAAGTAAATAAACTTATGAACTTCCAAACATTGATTAGTTATCTTGAGTGAAGTTATTTTGGAATTGTAAATTGTACTATAAGGGTAAAATTGTAACTTCACTATGCTAATCATTGTTGCCTTAATCTGTGTGTCATTTCTAAAGTGGACAACTAAATAAGGACGGAGGGAGTAACTTCTAAATTCATACCGACATGGGATGTGGTATATTTGTGAGATTGTTTCTCTCTTAATTAGAGATTTTAGATGGAAGCGTTACCTTTGAATGAATCTTGATGTGTGCGATTAAATTTAACGGGAGCTATAATATGAACTCCACATACCAAATGAAAAATCATAAAAACAAAAAAAAAAAAACTTCTAAATTCATGACCAATATATTTCATGCTTGATAAATTTGTAAAAATAATTTATATAATTTAATATAGATCTTTCATGAATACAATATTCTTTTTCCCCCTCAAAACCAACTTGATCACATTTGATATTGAGTATATAACCTAGTTCTTTTCTCTTAGATCTCTCTTTTTCTAAATATATATATATATATAATTCGTGCTCACTCAAATACTATCATATAAATTGGACACTTTAATATATGAACTCTCTCAAATCTCCATACTGGAGGATCAAAACAGGACAAAAGAAACATTATAGTAATTTATAATTTTTCAAGATCTAAGACTATACGATAAATTTTTAAGGAGCATAAAAAATTTAAAATTGACAAGTAATAGTAAATGGAGCGAGAGTATAGTACTACCACTAGTAAATGAACAGTTGTAAAATGTATCTTATCTTCGAAATCCCCCCCCGCAAGCTTAGAAAAATGAAGTTACACTCTGCACGAGGCTCCCTTTTTTCTCATATTATTACTCTTTTTTTTTTCCTATTTTTATATTTACAAAAATATAATTTTATGCTTCTAATTTTACCTAAAACATGTAAATTTTTGCACATTTTATTTGTCATATTACTACGTAAAAGATTCTTTTATTTTGTTTGCAAGTTTAGTTTTTACCCAATTTTGTTGCTGAAATTGGTACATGTCATTTCATTGTCAAGTTTACGTATTTATATCATGACTTATTAATTCTTTGAGATATAAACGTACTTCATTCTTTCTAATTTCAGAAATATTAAAATGCGTAAATCTTCTCTTTGCATATCCTTTTTTGTAAAAAAAAAAAATCTTTCTTTTTCACTTTATGTGACATATTATAAAGTTCATTTTTTTTTTACCATAATTTTTCATATGTTTTTAAATAATTTGAGAGTACTGATTATTGTGAATATCTTTCTCACTCCTATACATCCAAGATGATAAGTTGAATATCTTTAATCTAAGAATAATATTAAGATTAAATATATACTTTATTTATTTTATATTAATTGAATTAGTGAGAAAATGTCATCTACTAAGAAAAATATTTAACGACATAATTTAAATCATACTTTTTCACTATTGTCCTTTGTGAAATCATAAATATAACTTTATATGTAGTGCAATTTATCTCCTAGAAAATATCAAACTATATTAAAGGAAATGAAAAATATGAAAAAAAATAATTAAACATCTATCTTGAACTTTGAACAATTCAATTATTTTAAACAATGAAAAAGGCCCCAAAAAATTGAATTAATATAAATAAAAAAATATTAAATATTAAAAATTCTAACTTCACCGCTAATAATATCATACATGATTAATATTGTGTTGGGGAAAAACGAGATTGAGACATAAAGAAAGCGAAAGTTACAATTATTTTTGGAAATTGGTCGTGGTCATTTCTGGAGCCAAATTTAACTTGTTATAGTTGTAGGCCTCATGGCATATTTTCTGCTCCGTTTATTTTTAGGTGTTTATTTTGAACTTTGCAGGTCTCCCTATAAAATAATACTCTCTTCGTTTCAAAAAGAGTGGTTTAGTTTAACTTGACACGGAATTTAAGAAAATAAAGAAAACTTTTGAATCTTGTGGTCCTTAATTAAAGTTATGTCAAATGTATAAAATTGCCCTTTAATCTTGTTTCCTTAAACGTGTCACATGGAAAACTGAAATTAAAATATTACCAAAAAAAGAAAAAGGTTAATCTTTTTTAAACAGACTAAAAAGAAAAGTAAGTCATTCTTTTTGAAATAGATGAGTAACTTTTACCACAATAATTTGAAAAAAAAGTTATTAATGTCGAAGGTAAAATAAAAAAAAAACATTTTTCTTCTTTTATACATTAAAAGATAAATATATAAAAATTATTTTTAAAATATTAGACAAATGAAAATAAACTAAATGAGTATATTGGCTATGGTTTTATGACTTGCTTTTGTCCTTTCTTTCTTTCCTCTTTCTATATTTATTATAACCCCTTCCTTTCTTTAATTCACTCATTCATTCTCACACAACATACTCACTATATTTTCTTTCTATCTACCAAAATAACTTTAAATTCTCTTCTCCACATATTTGCATACTAATACAATTCACAAACACAATATGAAGAAAAAGAAGAAGAGTGATGAGAAGAGAAGGAGGAATTAGCAATTTTTGTTTAATTTTGAGGGGAATGTTGTTTGGCTCGAGGCCACCAACTTCATCTAATGTAAGCAACTCTTGTTAGTGTCGTCGGACCAGGCTTCATTCCCCTCAAAATATCGCTTCCTCTTATGAGCACATAGAGGTAAATTCACAATTTAAACTTTATCGTGGAATTAATTCTTTGAACTTCTTCTCAAAGTATTCATTATACTTTTGAAATTATAGGTCAATCTCTAGTATTAATTTGCTTACATTTTAGTAAATTAAATACTCTCACATGTGTGAAAAAAGGAGGTGGGTGTGGTGTGTGGTGGGTTTATTAGCTAGATAGAATACACTTTTATCTATTAATTATATTTTTAATGCGCTTTCTCAAGTATTTGCCTAATTTTTTTTAATAGGCCAAATAAATGATTACTTCGTTTACTTAATTATATTTTCAATAAGAATATCATATAACTTTTATACAGTAGGATTATATGTTTCGTTTATGCTCTTAAGTTCTTTTTTCGTTTTGTTCCTCCTCCCCCTTCTTGCTATATATATGTAATATTGCGGCTATAAATTTTACTAAGTGTATTAAAAGATTTAACGTAACTTTTTACTTATATAGTATAGTATTGCTTTTTGTTTATACAATATACTGATTAATTACCCATATTCCATCTACGTAGTTATGTCACTATTATTGTTATATTGATTGACTTTTAAAGTACTATATATAATTAAATTCATGATGATCATTATTCTTGTTAGGGTTCTTCTTTTCTAGTTGCCACACGTGAATTATATTTCTTGGGGAAGTTTATGAGTTTTATATAACACAATAATAGAAGCATTCTATATATAGTCATGACAACATATTAGTATATCAATTATCACATTCTTATGTCATTTTGCTTTTTTCTTGAAGATAAAAAAAAAATTCTACTTACATTTTATACTCTTCAGACTTCACGTATAGAATTATGCTAAGTTTTATATCACACAATAATAAAAGCATTCTATAATCTATATATAGTCATGACAACATATTATATCACAGTCTTATGCCATTTTTGCTTTTTTCTTGAAGATAAAATATTCTACTTGTGTATATATATCGTATCCTCCTCAAACTCCACTCGTGGAATAATAATGATATGAACTTTGTGTTGGTTTACATGATTTAGTGACATCATGAGTACTCAAAGACATATTGACATAAAAAGTTTCTTGAAATGAAGAAAAGGTTAAATTAAGGGAGGTGAAAAGAATATATCCATTCTAAGCTTTTGCAAAGGCTATAGCGTATGTTTTGAGAATAGTCAGAGAATAATCTTGCAAAATTGTGTTTGAGAAGTTACACACATAAATAGGGGAAATAATGAAAATAAATTTTAATAAGATCATGATTTATAACATTACAAATAAGTATTTGTCTTGATTTAATTTAGACTAAAGTATCAAAGTCCTTGTTATTCTTTTAAACTTTATGTTCAGTTAAATAATGTCATATAAATTTGAACGATGGAAATAATAGTTAAAAAGTTTGATTGATAGAAAATGCATACGTCAAAGTTCAAATTTTGAAATTTGAGGAGTAATATATTTGTGAACATTCAAAATGATGCTTTAGAAATGCTTTCTGATATTAGCTTGTATAAAAGTGAGAGCAGTTTGAGGAAGAACTTATGGTGGAAAAATTAATAACATTTCAAGTTTATTATATTTTTTCACTTGCCTAATTAACGCCCCTGAAACAAGAGCGGAGTCACCTTAGGCCAAGGGTGGATCAGTGCAACAAGAATTTGCATACTCTTGTCAAATTCCTAGCTCCACCATTGCCCCAAAACCCTACCCACACCCTTGACCATCCCAAACTCCACCATTACCCATCTTATCCCATTTTAAAAATTACATATGAATGATATTGCAGTACTTACTTATTTTCTTAAAAAATATTTTCTAAGGAAAATATAGTACATGCACCCATGCGCAGCGATTACCTAGAATTTCGACTATAGTTTTTATAGACTTTTTTTCGTTATATATTACTTAGTTGACCTTATATATTTCTTAAGAAAACTTTAATTAAAAGTATTTTTTTATTAAATTAATTTTATTAATAATATTTTGAAACTCTAAAAATGACAGTTATTACTACTATTACTATTTTATATAGTTATTTTATAAATTTAGGATAATATGAGAAAAAAATATTTAAAAATTCTTAATTTGTTATGATAGACGAAAAAATAAAACATCTATTTTAAATATGTATACTGAATAGAATAAAATAAAAAGGAGGGCTTATATATCTGTTAAATAGTTTCAGAAAAGTAATTCACACACACATTGTCAGCTTGAATACTGCATGCAGCTGTGTTTTTCACCTTTTCCCATGGGAGAAGCCCCTTCATTTTTGCTGGAAAAATTTACATTCTTCCTTTTAAAAATAAAATAAAATATTAAATAAATAAATAAATAAAATCCTATATAAATACGCCTCATAATTATCCCCCTTTTTTAATTGTCACACTTTAATTTTGCAGGCAGAAATTTAAACAAAGAATAGCCATCGATGGACATTTTGTTAAATATATATTTGCTGAGCTTAATTTCACTTTATAGTTTTATGACCATCGATGGACACTTTAATTTCACTTGTCTATTTTGGGTGGTTGTTTGGACAAAAAAAAATATGGGTACTTCTTAATTTCAACCCTCCACTTGTCTATTTTAAGATTGAGATTCAAATATTTAAGGAATGAGGGGTATATTTGACCCAAAGTATAACGGTAAGGTATATTTGAACCAAAAGTATAACGAATAACATATTTAAACTATTTCTAATAATATAACGATAAATATGACCTTTTTTCGTATTAAAAAACACTATATATCACAATAATTAATAACTCAAAATTTATAAAAATCCTATAAAAAATTTTATTCTCCAAATATCATCTGAGTCAAATAAATTTAAACAAAAAAATAATATATATTATATCCATGCTGACACGAATTTCACATCTAGTTATATGAGAGGCTTTGCAGATGATAGTATAGAGGCCAGCCCATTTCAATTTTAATGGGACTCTCTTGGGGAACTCATATGATCTCTATTTAAAATTTTGTTATGCTTAATGAAATTTCTGCAAATATAATCTAACGACTCATAATTTTCACAAGGGGGTCATTACTTTAGCACAAGTTATGATGGGGCATATTGTACAAATTGATTACGAGTTGAGAAATGAGATTATTAATATACACCATTACTGTACCACTGAACCAAGAAATGTTGAAGCAAGAATCATTTTTGAATCACAATTTATTAGTAGGTCTTTTAAGTATTTTAAAGAATTTCTAAATGCTAATTAAATATATACATATTATCTTTTTTATATGTGTTTAACTTTACAAACTAAAAGAAGGGTACAAAAACTTCAATCCAAAAATGGTCACAGTAAGAAAGGAATTATAGACAAATTTTCATACCAAAACTATGAAAGTTATTGCATGAAATCAAATCTGATGAGAAAATATAAGGAAAATCCTTTCCGAAATTCAATATAAAAATATTTAACTTGACAAAATTGATGTATATCTTGCAATTTTGTATATAAATGAATGGATAAAATTCTACATACTTTTTGGTAGCGTTAAAAGGAAAAAATGTGGAAGGTCATTATAAAGGTAGAAAGAGTAGGGCGGCAATTACGAGAGTTCATAAAAAGAAAAAGAAATTGAAAATTAAAATAGTTGATAACCTATCATAACAGGTTATAATAAATTACTTAATTGTGTAAAGAAAAATGTTACACTAACGGTATATTAGTTAATCTCTTGCTAAATTGGTAAAACTTATGTGTAATACATTCAAAAATGTATATATTATATATTAATTGTGTAAAAAAAATGTTACACTAACGGTATATTAGTTAATCTCTTGCTAACTTGGTAAAGCTTATGTGTAATACACTCAAAAATGTATATATGTAAGAAGAATGAGAAATATGTTTTCCGGTCTCTTGATTTATATTTAAAAACTTCTAAAAAATGAGAGACAAGTTGAATATTCTTGGGCTCAATTGCATGTTACTCTGCAACAGACAATTTAATTATGGTGGTCTTATTCTTTACTCGCATAAACTACCAAATAATTTAACTAAAGTGTTGGTGTAATATACCACAAATACAAAATATTACAGTTGAAAATAAAATGACAAAAATAAATAAACAAATATTTAGGCTGAGGCGCGGATATCTCGCTCTCTTTAAGGAGATTCAAGCCCACTGCGGCAAAATCTACACTGATCCAGTAGTAACACTCTTGACTTGTCCCCTCCAGGATACAACAGCCCAACAACGTTGTACAACTCAAACAACTCCAGATTTAGTTAAGAGTCCAAAACTCCACAAAAAGAACACCTTATTCAACATAAAATTACCCTCTTTTGTATAGTGAATATAGTTGAAGACTTGAAATATTTTTCTATGTCTCAACTCTCTCTTTCACTACACTAATCTCAATATAAACTCAATATAATACTACTCATCTTTTTCACTCTATATTTTCTTGTACATCTCTTGTTATTCCTACTTCTACCCAACACAAGGAAGACCACACTATTTATAGGTGATGAATTATTCCTTGCTGTAACACCCCAGAAATTTTTCGAACTGATACTCGAATCATCTTTCGTTGTGAGTAAGATTTTACTAAGGAATTTTAAATTTCTTTAGTATTGAGGTTAAGTCACTAGATGTAGCACCTTGAGTTCCAAAAACTGCTAAATTGGAAATAGCAAAAATCTGAAATTTTGCAAGTTAAGCTAAGTATGAGTTTTGGGTCGACTTCAAATGACCATAACTTCTAGCTCACGATGATTTAGGTGTGATACCAGATACCGTAGGGAAGATCTTTGAATTATATTTCCAACGCCACCGAGTTTGCTCAGTTTCGATATCGTATGAGGGAAATATGTCCATTCGAAGTTGGGCTGTCTAGATAAGGAAAATCAAAATCGGATTTTAGAGGGGTATTTTGGTCTTTTTCTTGCCCAATCAGATTAAATTCATTTTTAGTAATATTTAGGGGTCTAATATGATTAGGTTCAGTT